CCGTTGCTGACGGCGCGTCCTGGACCGCGGGCCGGCGCCCCCTTCCCCCCCCACCCCGCCCGTCCCGCTCTCCCGGGCCCGGGTCCGGGCCCCCGCCAAGCGTGGCCCGCCCGCCCCCCCCCCCCCCCCCCCCCCCCCCCCCCCCCCCGGCCCCCGAATGGGGACCGGAATCTGACTGGCATTTGCGAGTTCGCGGTCAGGGCCCCGCTCGACCCCTTACTGTGGTGCGGGCGATGGGTCCTCGCCGCCCATCGGGCGTGGGCTCCGCACCCAGGCGGACCGCCGCCGCTCATCCTCGATCCTGCCTTCGGTCGATCTCTCTCTCTCGGTCACACACCCACACGCAGTGACCGAGGAAGGAACTGGCATCAAAGGCAAGTATGTGTGCATTGGTCCGATCAGGACTTGCGAGGAGGAAAGAGACACAACGAGAGGGAGAGAGAGAGAGAGAGAGAGAGAGAGGGAGCGAGAGAGGGAGGGAGAGGGAGAACACAAGGCATGGACATGTGTGTCACCTTCGAGTGGACACAGCCCACCGCGCGGGGGGAGGGGGGAACTGCTGCCCCCCCCCGTCGGTGGCCGGGGGTGCCACACGCCTCTCCTGCACACCGGCGTGACACCAGGAGGGGCGGCGAGAAGGGAAACAACGGGGAAACCGGGAGTCCAGGATGAAAAGAGGAAGAAGAAAAGACAGAAGGACACAAGTGCAGTTGTCCGTGTGCCCACACGGCACGCCCAATGGGTCCGCCCCGCCGGTCACCCTTTTCCGGGCGGACTCTGGCCGCCACACAGGCCGGGGGGAGGAGGCGGGGGCGAGGGAGGGGCACGAAGACAGGCGAAAGGCAAGAGGGAGAGCAGAGACAAGAGCCGGCCGGCCCGGATCACCAGACAGGGCAGGAGCAGATGGCCAAGCACGTGTCAACACACACACACACACACACACGTCTGAGAGCAGGGGGAGCCGGGAGGGCAAACACTCCCGCGATGGCCTCTCCGGCACTAGCCCGAGCGGCGATTGTGCCGCGATCCGGCCAGTGCATTCAGGAACCGGGGGAAGCTGTCGCCAACCATCAGTCGCAGGGTTTCCGACTGGGCATCGGAGAAGAGCCCACGCGGCATGGGCATGGAGGCAGGGACATCGCTCAAAACCAAGCGCCAATAGGGAGACTGGTCGGTCATGCCCTCGGGGCGCCAGGCGAAGGTCCGCCGGGAGGCCGCCGCTTCGGCCAATGCCGCGGCGCCGGGGGCCCCATCGGCCGAGGAGCTGCTGGCACTGCGGCTGCGCGAGCGAACACGCATGAAGCCCCCGGACTCGGTGGCCGGGGCTGCCAGCGGTCCGGCGGCCTCACCCACAGCCGGCAAGTGGGGCGACACCTCGCGACTGGAGGCGGATTCCGCCTCGGCCACCATGCGGGCCAGAGCCTGGGAATAGTGAGCAGCATCCTCGCGCGAGGTGATGCCCCAGTCCTGCGACCCGCCATTGGCCCCGCCAACCAGGCGGAAATAGTACTCCGACCGGGCGATGTCCGTCGCCAGCAGGCACATGTCCAGGGTGGCCCGGCGGCAGGGCAGCGACAGGTTGACCTCCTGGCTGGCGGCCGGCAGGATGAAGTGCGAGCAGATCCGACTCATCTTCTCCAGGGTGGGGTCCAGGTCGAAGGCAATGACCGCCAGCCAGAAGTCCACATTCTCGCTGGAGTGCTCGCCCAGCAGCAGCCCGCGATAGGCCTCAAGCACGGGGCTTGCCGCCGGGTCAGGCCCGCCCGGTGTCGCGCCGGCCATGCTGCCCGGCCCGGCGGCCAGCATGTCCACCGCCAGCGCATAGAGGGTCAGGCCGGAGGTCGGGGCACCGCCGGCCTGTCGGCGCAGGGTCCCACTGCTGGAGTTCACCAGGAACCCACTGCTGCTGGAGCTGCTCAGGGCGGGCAATTGCTTGAGCGAGCCCGTCGAGCCGGATCCCCCCCCGGAACCCAGGCGCGGGGCCGGCGAGGAGAGGCCCATCGTGGCGGTGAGCGACACGCTGGAGGCCGATCGGCCGGAGCCACTGGAGGAAAGCTGGCTCGCGAGGAGATCCTCAAAGAGCAGGATGGACAGAGGCCGGGTGGGGGCCGGTCCCGGGGGCTGGCCGGCCAGCGGGCCGCCGACATCCAGCAGGCGGGCCAAGCGCTCGCCCTCCAGCAGGCGAGCCGAGTGCGGGGACAGCAGCAGGCCAATCAGGCGCTCATCAATGGACAGGGCCGAATCCAGCACATGGCGCACCAGCCCCAGGGGCAGCGGCGGCAGGGCGTTCAGCTGTTGCACCGGAGCGCTGGACCCGGAGGAGGGCTCGACGCCTCCGCCGGGACCATCGGCAATGATGCCGCCGGGCGACATGGGCGCCGGCCCGGTGGAGCTGCCACCGCCCGCCGGCGAGGTGGACAACATGGACGCAGTGAGGGCCTCGCCCGGCGAGCCGGGGGCCAAATCCACCGGCCCGGCCAGACTCCCGGAGGAGGGCGCACGCCGGGGCATCCCGGACCGGGTTTTCGGCAATTGGGCCACAATCGGCCGGGCCCGGTTCGAATGATCGCCCTCCGGAGCCAGTAGCGTCAGGAAGGCCGCCAAGCAGTCGGGCTGGTCAGCACGAGCATGGGCCAGGGTCGGCGGCCGGATGGCCGAGCCAGAGCTCAAGGTGTCCGGCGCCCCGGCATCCTGAAGGTCCGGTTGGGAGAAGGACTCCCGGAGCCCGAAGCGACCCGGGGGCCATGCCTGCCCCGCCGGGGGGGGGGGGGGGAAGACAAAGATTGGATGAGTCTCTTCGCAAAGG